TTCTCATGTGTGTTACCTTTGAGCCTGACATGGAATCTCTAAATAAACAAGCCTTAACCCCATTTCTTATGAATATAAAATATGTTGCACTTTATTCTTTGAAGTAATCTTTATAAAAAAATTTCCAGTTTCAAGATATGAAGATACAAACAATTCTCTGCAAAGGGAACTACTCCCTTTATCTTCTGCTATTCAGAAGCTTTCCACTTATGACACTGATGGGACTATAGTGGGTTGAGTCATTGCATGAATAAGAGGCAAGTTATAACTCCATAAACAAATAAAGCACATGGCATAGTGCCTGACACGGAATAAGCCCTGAGGCAATGGAAAACATTGGTAAGAAGGCTTAGGAAGTTCCTTAACAGCCCACAGAGTCCCCCATTAAGAAAAGCATTCTGATTTTAAGTAATAATTGAGGGACTCAGAAGATGGCTCAGGGGGTGAAGTGTTTGCTGTGCGAGCATGAAGATCCGAGTTTGAATCCCCAGCACCTGTGTAAAAGCTGGGATGCTTCTGTAACCTCAGGGCTGGAAGTGGAAATGGGACGGTGTCTGGGGCCTTCTGGCCAATCAGTCTAGATGAAATGGTGAACTCCAGGCTCAGTGAGAGAGGCTCTGTCTCAAAAAATGAAGTGGAGAGCAGTAGAGGAAGACCTACAATGTCATTTACCCTTCGAGATGCACAAGCATGTACCCCCCCCAAAAAAAGCCTGACAGATCCCAATAAACTGCTTCTGCAGTGCTTGAGTTAACAAAATCTGCCATCCCTCTAGAACGGAATTCTCAAAGCAGTCCAGGGAAGAACGAGGGGCAGGCTGTGGAGATGGCTCATTGGCTAACGCAAGGAAGACACCTGATACCAAGAACCCACAGACATGCACGGTAGGCATGGCAACCACCTGTAATTTCATTCTTGAAAGACAAAAATGAAATTCCTGGCACAGGCTGGCTAGCTAGATGGGCTATGTCAGTAAGCTCTGGGCTTCATGATGCATGCCCTGCCTCAAGTAATAGAGTGGTGCATGACTGAGAGTATTCCCGAGATCAACCTCTAGCCTCTACATGCATACACACATATGTATACATGCATTTGCACACTCACATGTGCCCATTAACATGCACACACACACGCATGCATACCACAAACACACATATACATGAAAAAAGGATAAAAGAATGTTAGGAAAAGTCGTTTATTCAATAGTGATACAGTTAGCGCTGTTTTAGGGTTTATAAAGAAAGGCCTTACCTCTAGCCTCTACATGCATACACACATATGTATACATGCATTTGCACACTCACATGTGCCCATTAACATGCACACACACACGCATGCATACCACAAACACACATATACATGAAAAAAGGATAAAAGAATGTTAGGAAAAGTCGTTTATTCAATAGTGATACAGTTAGCGCTGTTTTAGGGTTTATAAAGAAAGGCCTTTCAAAGACAGCAGGTGTCATTACACTCATTGTTAATTATTAAACCAAGTGTCACAAAGAGGAGATTATTTACCTGTTATCACACAAACAAGATAAGGCGGAGTCAGGCCCCAATACTCAGTGCAGGCTGCCAACCCTGCAGTGGTCCAGCCCCTTCCTCAGTGCCCCCATCACCTCCCTGTTCCTCAGGCTATAAATGAGGGGGTTGAGCATAGGCGTGAGGACCGTGTAGAAGATAGACACCACTTTATCATGGCTAGGGGTCCGATATTTCCTTGGCCTCAGGTAGATGAACATGGCTGCCCCATAGAAGAAGGAGACAGCTGTCAGGTGGGAAGAACAGGTGGCCAGAGCCTTTTTCCTGGACTGAGCAGAGCGCACATGGACTATAGCCACTAAGATATGAGCATAGGACGCAATGATGATAGAGAAAGGAAAGAGCAACATGAATACACAGCAAACATATACCACCTTCTCAAACAGGGATGTGTCCACACAGGCCAGCCTCAACAAGGAAAGCATCTCACAGAAGAAATGGTTCACCTCCCTCAAGCCACAGTAGGGGAAGTTAATTATCACCACCATCTGCACCAGGCCATCTATTGTCCCAAAGGCCCAGGAGCTCCCAACAATCTGAAGACAGACTTTCTGATTCATGAGGACTGGATAGTGAAGTGGGTGGCTGATGGCCACATAGCGATCATAAGCCATGAGTCCCAGCAAGAGCCCCTCAGACCCTACAAGAGTGAGAAAGAGGCCCATTTGTATAACACAACCCGCAAAGGAGATGGACTTCGTGCCAGACAGGAAGTTGACTGCCATTTTTGGCACATTGGTGCAGACCAACATGAGGTCCATGAGGGAGAGCTGGCTGAGGAAGAAGTACATGGGGGTATGAAGTCGAGGGTCAGTGTAGATGAGGAGGACGAGGAGAACGTTCCCACAAAGGGCTACTGTGAAGACTATCATGACCACAGAGAAAAGAACAAGATCAGCTGGACTGTGGGAGAAGATGCCCAAGAGGATGAAGTCGTCTGTAGATGATTGGTTCAGCCATCTCTCCATGCCTCAGCTGTTCTGGGTCACCTGAAAACAAGGACAAAAACATACTGGAGTATTGACTTTTCTTCATTTGTGGTTCTGGGACTGTAACCCAGTGCCTTGTGTGTGCTAGGTAATTCTTCTACCACCAAGCCATATCCCCAGGCCACTGAGAGATATGTCTTTGTTGAACTCTGCATTCTACACCTTTAGCCAGTTAATTTGTTTGTGACTCATCAGATCTTCACAACGTAAGTTTTGGACTATAGAAGGGAACATTTTTTCATATACCCAAGACAGAGCAACTGGAGCCCTAAGCCATCGAATTAGATATTGATTTGACCGCACAACTGTAATATATATTAGTGGAATCATTTTACGTGAAATAGGACATTTAGGATGTCTCATTTATCAGGAAAAGTAGTCAGCTTACCATACAACCTTATCTTTTATCTGAGATCACAAGGACTTGGTAAATTATAACAGGGTGTGAACAGTTTTATTCCCAAGGGATAATTCATGTGTGTTCTCAGCAGCAAAGGGACAGTGCATGTATTGTTCTTTAGAATGTGTATGACTTTATATTCTGAGAGTTTTAGCATGCTAGTTAATCTATTATATTATAATGCAGATACAGAAGTGTCTCTTTAGTGTCCCACATAGAAAGGATGAGATATAATTGGATGTTGACATGGTCACTCTTGTTGGCAATGACCTAAAGTCACAGGGCCAGTGGAGAGAAGCAATGTCTCAATGCTCCATCCTCTTAAGAATAACGAGTTATTCAGGTACATAGAGACTTAAAAAATAATCACATAACAAGGGCCTCAGTAGAAGTTTTTCACAAACCAATTTAGATGAATTAATAGAATTATTAATTACTAAATTAGTTGAAGTCACAGAGCATTCTAAATAAATTCTTCCACATGATACTTTACACCTTTGAATGCTTTGTTCACTCTCTCATGCAGTTTCCAATGAATTGTTTGGTGTCTGTCAGTGAGGAGGGATTTCCCATTATCTTTGATCAAGAATTTATTGCAAACATATTATTTTGGAAGGGAGCAAGAGACGCTTGTGATCTAACTTTGTAAGTCAAATTAAGAATAATAAAATGATGGTCATACACAGGGAATAAGAAGTGTCTGTGAGATGTCCAACCCTAAGTGACACATCTACAATGGAACCTCTACACCCGACTCACGGACCATAGTGGAACAGGGGTATGGAGAATACTAATGCGTCTCTCAACTCTCACCAGAGAAGCTTCCTCATGTAACAGAGGGCGATGAACACAAAAAGATGCAACTAGCCAAAGTGTAGAGGATAAGAATCTGATCACACATGGCCTCCTGGATTTGGGGAGGGCTAAAGCATACAATCTGAGGAAGGCCAGAAAGAGAAGGCATGACCCATGCTGGATAAAGACTTTCCAGTGTGCATACCTTCAGGTCATACATACACCTCAGCTACCCCTCAGTTACCTCAAAGCCTTTGAGAGGGAATTGCCACTGATTCTAACCACTCCAACAGCTATCAAAATACCTGAAAGCAAATCCTGAATCCATCACTCTAGAGTCCAGTCTTGGAAGACAAAAGAAAAATGAGGAAGAACCCAATAGAGAGATGCTTTTGGAAGCCCTTGTCAAGAAATTCCAATGGACTCTCATATGAACTCTTGAAAATTGCCCTGTTCTGACTTTTTTCTAGTTCCCTGTCTAGAACTTGTAATGCTAATTACTCTTGCCTTTACTTCTCCTTCACATCTCCTATTCACCAGTCAAGGACTTTCTTTTCCCTATACAGATAAGAGTTATGCAATTTAGGAGTCTTTTAGATAGACACACTGAAGGGGTACCCCAGTTGCCTCACCCTGCATCCCTGTTCAGCATGGACGAAGCCAGAGCGGTCTGAGT